GTGTGAGTGTGTGTGTGTGTATGTGTGTGTGTGTGAGAGTGAGTGTGTGTGTGTGTGTGTGTGTGCGTGCATGCATGTGTGTGTGTGTTTGTGAGGGTGTGTGTGAGAGTGTGTGTGTTTGTGAGAGTGTGTGTGTGTGTGAGAGAGTATGTGAATGTGTGTGTGTTTGTGAGAGTGTGTGTGTGTGTCTGTGTGAGAGTGTGTGTGTGTATGTTTGTGAAAGAGTGTTGTGTGTGTGAGTGAGTGTTTGTGAGAGTGTGTGTGTGTGTCTGTGTGAGAGTGTGTGTGTGTATGTTTGTGAAAGAGTGTTGTGTGTGTGAGTGAGTGTTTGTGAGAGTGTGTGTGTGTGTCTGTGTGAGAGTGTGTGTGTGTATGTTTGTGAAAGAGTGTTGTGTGTGTGAGTGAGTGTTTGTGAGAGTGTGTGTGTGTGTGAGAGAGTATGTGAATGTGTGTGTGTTTGTGAGAGTGTGTGTGTGTGTCTGTGTGAGAGTGTGTGTGTGTATGTTTGTGAAAGAGTGTTGTGTGTGTGAGTGAGTGTTTGTGAGTGTGTGTGTGTGTGTGAGAGAATGTGTGTGAGAGTGTGAGTGTGTGTGTGTGTGTGTGAGAGAGAGTGTGTGAATGTGTGTCTGATTGGTCAGACGAAAGTTAGTGTCCGATACATTCTGAAGACAAACCTGGATGAACTTCCTGTCAGGATAAAACCACACAGGAAACATCAAACCATCTGTTACAACAGTATCACTGTAAGAGTGTGAGAGGTCACGAGGGGTCAGTACCTCCGTCCTGCAGACAGCAGCGAGTGTTTGACTTTAAAGGGCACATGGAAGGTCAGAGAGACCAGCGTGGAGTAAATGGACCAGGGACAGTCGACAGACACCTGAAACACACACACACACGTTTATATTTTTGCCTTTATTTAGATAGGATTTTTTAAATGATATAATTTATTATTATTCTAAATATTAACTGTGAAAGCAGTCCTCAGTATGGTTTGTTTCGGTGTATCAAACCTTCTGGTCGATGAGGGTCATGCCGCTGTTGAAGCGTGTTCGGCTGCGGCGACTGATCTGTCCGTTAGTGAGCCGCTCGCTCTCCATCCGCGCAGGGCATGATGGGATATGACACAGAACCTCCAGCAGGAACTCCAGCGTGTGATACGGCGGCGTCACCGGAAGAGAGATGCTCGTCACCTTCTCAGACGACTGGATGGACAGAGCACTTTCAGCCAGCAGCTCTGATCAACAACATCACATCAGTTACCGTCTTATTAAGAGGACATTAACACTTTTATTGATCAGGGCTACATGAAATTGATCAAAAGTGACAGTAAAGACATTTAGAATGTTACACAAGATTTCTATTTCAAATAAATGCTGTTCTTTTGAACTTTCTATTCATCTGTGAATCCTGAAAACTAAAATGTAGCAGTTTCCACAAAAATATTGTGCAGCACGACTGTTTTCAACATTGATAATAATCAGAAATGTTTCTTGAGCAGCAGATCAGCATATTATACTGATTTCTGAAGATCATGTGACACTGAAGACTGGAGTAATGATGCTGAAAATACAGCTGCGCATCACAGAAATACATTACAGTTGAACACATATTCACACAGAAAACAGCTGTTTTACATTACAATAATATTTCACAACTTTTACTGTATTTTTGATCAAATAAATGCAGCCTTGGTGAACAGAAGATACTTTTTTCATTATTTCAACCTTTTGACTGGTAGTGTATGTATATATATATATATATATATATATATATATATGTGTGTGTGTGTGTGTGTGTGTACA